TATGGCTTGTTAAGGAATCCCTTGTTGCTGTCTTAAAATGTTTGGATTCTCTCCTCCCTTCACTGTTGAGTTAATGCAGACAATACCCTGGGTTGGGTTGCCAGCATGTCTAGATCTAAATCCATGAATCATTGTTTCCTGGCCTGAAAACCTCCGGTGTGTTTGCTTAAAGTCTGTAGTTGTCTCATAAACCTTTATATAGGTGCAGAGAGCAACGCTGAATAACCATGGATGCTATTAAGATAACATGTATTGAAGACTCTTATTGCAAATTTGAAAGGTATTCAGCTCTGTCTTTCCTGTGGAATTGCTTGCTTGGCTCTTCCTTTTCTTCAGTCAGGCCTGCATGTTCCAAAAGTGAGTAGTAATTTTGGGCATGTCCATTGATGCTCAGTTCGAGACATTTTAAAGGGGCCTGACTTTAAGAGGGTGGGTGTTCAATGCTTTCTTAAAAGTCAGCCCCTTTTAAGATATCTCAAGCTCCCTTCGTGAGCCACCCGCTAGTGTCTCTAAATGAGCATGGGAGATGCACCACACAGTCCACTCAGCCTCCTCTGACTGCACTAGTTTTGGGAGAGTTGTGGTAGGGGAAAAGCTTCTGATGTAGAGTGGGAGACTGGTAGTTACTTCATCCAGACTTCTTTCTTTCCTACAATTGCCTTCCTGCCTCCCTCCCTCCCACCCCCTTATGGATTGATACCCGGAGCCTTCTTTCTCCACACATCAGCCAAAGAGCACCTGTTTCTTCATCCTTACACACCCTCTAGCAATCAGAGGTCGCTTGCCAATCAAGAAGTCAGGGCCCATACTCCAACCCACATCACTACCAGAACAGTTACATTGTCACCCAACCAGCCACCCTATTGTCAGAGTCTTCAGAGGATCCTGTTTGCCTCTATTATTACCAAAGGAAAAACCAGCACAGCCACTGCTGGCTTCATGAAAACCAGCTGCCATGCAAAGGTGGCCACAAGAGCAAGTACTGGGAAGAAAGGGGTGAAGGTGTTCGTGAGATATCAGGATGTAGTGGGGAGGGGAGAAGGAAAGAGATGGATTTGAGAGTGGGAAGGACATGGAACTGATGAGTTTGGGGAGGGAAAGTATACATTTTCTAAGGGGGTAAGCAGTAATTTACCCAGGGAATGTTGAGGGTGAAAAGTTTTGAGGGTTGAAACTCTGGCCACATATCATGGTCTTTGTCATGAACAGGGGAAGTGCTGACCAGCATGCAGTGACTAAGGGGTTAACTCAGGTACCTAGCAAAGGTGTTGGCTAGGGAACCAGAAGAGTCAATCGAGATAGAAGGTTGAAATTTGAATTTGATATAATTTCCCTGCCAGCTTCCTTTGTGTGGGAGAGTTAAACCAGGAGTTGAGAGAAACAGAACGATTTAAACCCAGGCAGGACTACCATGCCCCCTCACCCCCTGCCATGGAATTCAGGGCATGGAAGTGGACTGAACAAAGAGAAAATTAGAAGTGAGTACCAGGGAAATGTGGGTCCAGTCACGTTCAGGGTAATTTTTCTTTATTTTGTGGTTTGGTTTGAACAGCTTTGTGTGAATCTAGGTTTCCTCTCCCCACTTACTACCATCTAAGCTTTGTGCCAAGACTTTTCTCTATTTTTTTAAGTTTGTTTTTCTTGGTTGCTCTATAACATCTAGCAGCCAAGTATGTTTTATCAAGTTTAGCTTTTGTTTTTTAATAAAAATCACTCCTTTTAAGATGATGATTTGATTCTTGTGTCCTGGAAGGTCTGTCTGTATCTATCTGTATGCTTCTGACTGAAGGGTCAGCTACCAGAGACTGCAGCTTGTTTTTCTTTTTTCTTTTTCAAGCTCTTTTGGGGCATCCCTGGAGTTGATTTCAAGTGTTCACCTCTGGTTGGGTTTTTTGGGTGGGGGGGAATCAAAGCACTTTATGGTGGCAGCAAATCCCCCAAAATCTGTGTATTAGGATTCTGGAGGGAAGTTTTTGTAACCTGTGCCTGTAGAGGCAAGGTTTTGAAGCTCTCTTATGGACCCCCACCTTCTGCATTTGGAGTGCCAGAGCAGGGAACAGCCTTGACAATCTTCCTGGCCTCTAGTACTTACTCTTAGATGGTAACAGAGATATTTTCCTGTGTCTGTCTTTTTCAAATATATTTGGACTTTACACTTTTCCTGCACATTTAAATTCTCATTTTTGCTTCTGAGAATAGTTTTTCACCATTTGTTCTAGCTTCTTTCTCAAAACACACTTGTGTTCTGATGTCCTACAAACACATAAGTAAAGGGATACACTAAGCTCATTTTTCCCACACTGGCAATCTCCCAGCCCCTCACCATTTCATTTAATCAAATCTATGGCTCAAAACCAATCATGGCTATTGAGCAGATGAAAGATGGAGTAATATGTTGTCAAATGAGCCAGGAGTGATTTGATTGGTGCTCCAGTAACTGGCAAACAGTGAGATGCTACAGATGTGCCAAATAGCTATTTGCCAATATGTGACAAACAGTGAGATGCCATCCTTTTCAGGTGTGGAGTTGATCTATTTCAAGGAAGGCAAAGCATCAATACTCTCATCTGAAGGAGATAGTGGAAGTAAGACTTTTTCCAATCAGCTTATTATGAATGAAGCTTTGTGAAGCTGTCACTACCTAGGTGAAGACTTTATCTTGCAACGAGGAGATGCAGATTGCTGCAATATCAAGCATAAGGGCATTTCAAGGAGACTACTGTGTGCTTTGCAAAATTGAAGGAAATGTCCTGCCAGACTACAAAATACCTCTCTCTTGCTCATTCTCTCTCTTTACTAAAGCTTATGTGAAAAACAAGGCTAGATTGAAAGGCATTTTCTTAACAAGCTCTGTAATCTGGTGACCTTAAATACAGTTAAAAACATTATTGCTCAATGCACCCTACAGATCATTTTTAGAAGCTGTGTTTTTAAGTCAGTGTTAAAGAGCAGAGGATGGATTGCACTGTTTTTCACAGACACCCCAGATATGTTATATGTACACCTATCAGTTTCAGCAACAGCAAGGACATTACATGGAATTAATCAAGCAGAAGAATGATCTACAAAATGCATTAATGAAGCAGTAAGCATGTCAATGGTAAAAAAAAGCTGCTTTTTTTTCTTTAAAATGGAGTAACTGGTAACTAGATACCTCAGTGGTGCACACATTAGTGTACTATAACTCTCCTACACAGCAAGAGAAATATGAAATGCAAAAATGCCACATTCTACTTGGCTTTTCTGTGCACATGTACGTACATTCTCTCTCTTGAAGCATTCCCTCCTCGCCACACCCAGCCCATTTGTTTAATCCATCTTGTCCTGAACTAAGATGTCAACCTTTTGGCAACGTCCTTTTTCTACCTCTTTGTATACAACCCAGCTAATGAGAATCTAATCTGTGGCTGGCATTTGTAGGTGTTTATGCACCTTTGGGACCTGATTGGTACCAAATGAGAAATTTGCCAGACTAGATGAGGTCCCCAGATACCACCTCCCACAGACCATCTTCCCTCCCCAAACTGCCTCAGCCCCACCCCTGCTATTTCAGCTGCTGTGTCTCCAGCCCCAGCCTTGCTATCAGGGCTGCCGCAGCTGCTGTGTCTCTGGCCCCAGCTGCCCTACCACAGCTGCCACAACTGCCAGGTTCCCAGCCCTGCTACTGGGACTCCTGCAGCTCCTGCTGCATTACTGGGGCTCCAGCGCTGGTCCCAGCCCCAGCCCCCGCCCCTCTGGGCTCTGAGCTGCCAACCCTCTTGCCATTGTGGCTCCCTGCCAGGACTCCCTGGTCCAAGAGCACCCATGGTCCAGTAGAACCATGAATGTGGCCAGATAAGAGAGTCCCTATTTTGGGAAGTTCAGCCTCTAATAAAAATATTTGAACACTACTGCCATCATTAGACAGCTAGGAGAAACCCCAGACAGTACCAATGTTGAGGCCATGCACTGCTAGTCGCAAAATCTACTATTGGAAATTCTTCATACTTCCTTGCTTGAAACACAGAGGTGGCACCATACTGAGCTGGGAAGACATCATCCCTGTTTGCCTGGTACATCCAAGGCTATTACAAATGTTGATGCTTCTTAGATCAGTCATGTTTTTGCTGGGAGTAATATTCACAGGGAGCACTCTAGAAGTTCTCACAATTAGTTAGAATTTGGATGAAAAACGGATGTTTCGCAAAAATATTTTGTGCCCGTTTTGAGAAAAAACAGAGGCACTTAAAATTAGATCCCGCTCACTTTCTAAGAATTTATCACCTGCCATTTTTGGAGGTTTCATATCTGAATCTGCTTCAATGATTTTGGCCCAGTTTGGCCCTAAAACTGGAATAAGCCTATTTTCTAGATCCTGTGGCTAAGAACTTTGGGAATAGTGGGTCCAATGATTTTCCTCTGGTTTGTGATAAAGATTCATGACCCTGGTCTATACTAGGGAGTTATTTTGAAATAACAAGCGGGCATCCGCACTACCAAGCTTGTTATTTCAAAATTAGAGGCTGGTTATTTTGAAATAATAACTCCTGCTTTCCACAAGGAATAATGCTTATTTTGAAACAGTTATTTTGAAATAGCGGTAGTGTGCTATTTCAAAATAACTGCTTCCCAGAGTCATTCAAAGTAATTACTCCCTAGTGCTTCCTGGGGCTCTAAGTAGAGGTAGCACTTCCACATTAAGGAGACTGCCTTGGACTAATTTTGAACCTTCCTCGTAGTGTGGAAATGCTATTTCAAAATAGTTATTTCGGGAATTATTATTTTGAAATAAGTTATTTCAAAATAATTTCCTGTTGTAGACGTGCCCATGGAGAACAGCTATATGAGTACAGACTCCAGCCCCAGTTCAAACATAGACCTGAACTCTAGGCTAAACAAAATCCAGACCACTCTACTATTTAGTTTTGTAGTGCATATATTTCCCCAACTCCTGTATGTATTGTGTATGAGCATTTTGATTGACATTTGCTCGGTTTTAAAAACAACAATAATTCAATTACCTGTAAGGTCATCAGTGGGCCAGGAGCCCAGCTGGCATGCCTTGCATGTGTATTCATCAGAAACAAACTCATTCTCTTTACATGGGGTACAGGTCCAGCAGCAGCTTACTTCTCCTTTACGGATCACCTGAGATTAACATAACAGTGCAATTAGATCTGTTTTTAAATCAATTTTCTTTATTGCTGTTGAGATTCCTTATTTTATTTTCAAAGTCCCTTTTTTAAGATACTCCCTGTATCTTATAGGGTGCATCTACACATCAGGGCATAACTCGAAATAAGTTGCGCAAATTGAGCTAAGCCAATTGCATAGCTTATTTTGAAATTGGAAGCATCCACACAGCACTCTCATTTCAAAACAGAGCACTCTTCCTCTGACTTCCTTTACTCCTCATACAATGAGGGTTACAAGAATCAGAGTAAAAAGTACTCCAGCTTGACAGTATTTTGACAGTATTTCGAAATAACTGCCTGCTGAGTTACTTTGAAATAATGTTGCTGTGTAGACGAACTCAGAGAGATAAACCTCTTTTCCTGAGGTATGGAAACTACTCACAAGGTAGAGTAGAGTCAATTCTACAGCCTAAACTGAGAGGCAGTTAGTTGGCTTTCAGCTCATACTGTACAGGCACATGGCTTTAGCCCATAAAGTCTCAGGTTCAATCCCTCCTAACAGCAACCAGGGTCAGTTGGCTTTATACAATCACAGAAAATAGTTTGCAACCACCTTAAAGGCTGCATTATGTTCAAATAAATTGTCATATACATTTGTGAAGATCTAAATCTCATCAGTGTTGATTTACACACAGAAAAAACGGAACAATATTATTCATCGTAGACAATTCACCCATTTCTAGTCCAAATCTACCATGAAAAGGTGGGAAACTAGCTTTGCTTCTCTAAGGATTGGAATGGAGTAGGGGTCAGTTTTCAGTAGTTTGTGTTCAATTTGAGAAAATTGAGATTTTATGTCCTTTTCCCAAACTGATTCCGATCAGCTACATTTTAAACTAACATTTAATAATGAGAGAGCAATGTGTGTCCATTTTAACATTCAGGACTGATTTCCACCTCTTTCAATTCAGCACACTACAGCTTATTACTCCCTGGCAATTCAAATGAATTTTTCAAAATCCCCATGCATCTTCTCTTGGGCATTGAATGCATCTGTCATCCATGGCAATCTGCCAAGGGTGATGCAAAGGCCCTTTCCTCTTTGAGATAATGTATTCTCATCACTTTCTAGTCGATTTTAAATAAATACTACCAACTACAGCATTGGGCAGATGTATCGAGGCTTTGGAGTGATCAGTCCAGAAGGTGGCTTCACAAGCAAATGCGACAGATTGGGATTTGAATCAAATGCAAAGGCATGCAGCCAACTCAATTCCTGTATGTCTGGTGTAGTGCAGAGGCCTGAGCAATACCTCTCCTTCAACAGCTTTGAGAGAGCTCACAGAGATGGGTGTTGTTCACATTGGATTGTTAAAGGGCACGAGTAAGACTCTTTTAGCAAATCTCAGGATCAAGCTCCCTGTTAGATATATCTAGCAAATGGAATTTTTAGCTGCTTCACTGTCCCTTTTTGAATATCCTGCTGCTGTCAATTGCAGTTGGTTGCACCGGGGAGCCAATGGGATCACTGGTCCCCTGGACAGTGTGTGGGGGGGGGGCCCAGCTTTGTTCTCTTGGAGGAGGCAGGGCCTCAGGCAGAATAGGAGCAGCTGGGGCAGACTGGGTGGCATCTCTCCCCCTCCTCCTCTTCTGTTGGCCATCAGAGCCAGCCAGAACATGCCGCACAGGGCTCTAGAGTGCACCGTATGGTGCTTCGGCGCAATTCTAAAAGGCCCGGGGCTCCAGTCACTACTACTGCCACAGTAGAAGTGGTGGCAGCTGGGACGTCACTTCCAGCCCTGAGGTCTTTTCCAGCCCTATAATTCTATGATTCTATGATCACCCAGCCCTGGAGCAATTGTCCCCTGTACTCCTTGCCTCTTTTATTGTGCCTGTGTTCCATTCCCTCCCAGAATTTATCCAGCCCTATTTAACTAAATCTCGTCCTCCCCCCTCCCAGACCACTCTCCTGCTGGTCGTTCTTGTGATTTTTCAGACCTGTTCATCCAAAGAGATTTGATGTCTCCAGAATGTTTCAGGTGTTCAGGGTGTGAGGCTTGCATAAAGCCGTGCAGAAAGGGCCATGCTGGGTGCTGCTGAATAATGGTACGCTGGTTTTATGTGCTTCTATAATCTCTGTATGAAATTCTGACTCCATAGATGTCAGTGGGAAGGCTTCTATTGACTTTGTTCAGTAGTCAGTATCTCATCTCCTATTTTACTTTGTGGGCTATTTATTGTCCATGAAAGAAAAACTGGGATGTGTACTTATCAATAAAATGTAAAAAAATAATAAAAAGAATATACAGATATGGGTCCCGGTGTTCCCTGCTGGACCCCAGCTGATTTGCAGGTTCTCAGGGCTGAAAATTTTGACACACATTCTGGCTAACATATTGGGACTATGCAGATAATATATCAACACAATAATAAAGCCCCCAAATAAAGATATTTACCTTTATCTGGCCTTTTTCACATGGTTCACTGCAGACAGATCTGATGACAGTATTTTTCTTTGACCATATTTCATCATCATCCATCTTCAGTTCACCATTGTCCCAACTTCCAACATTGATATAGTCAAAGTAATCTTTTCCCATTTGCTTAAAATTCATAATCTCATACCTTTTGAAACAGAAAATGAACAAATAGTTGATCACTAAATCTTATTGATTTAAACAAGCACTATCAAATTAATATCTAATCAATGAAAAGAAAATTAAAAGTACTTATGCTACATGAACCACGGAGTCTCACAGGCTACATCTACACTACCAGATTTGCCGGTAGTGAGTATGCAAATGAGACATGGATTAGCATATTGCCACACCTCATTTGAATAATTGGGAGGAGGGATAGATCAGTGGTTTGAGCATTAGCCTGCTAAACCCAGGGTTGTGAGTTCAATCCTTGTGGAGGCCATTTAGGGATTTGGGGCAAAAATTCATCAGGGATGGTACTTGGTCCTGCTGTGAAGGCAGGGGACTGGACTCAATGACCTTTCAAGGTCCCTTCCAGTTCTCGGAGATAGGCAATCTCCATTAATTAATTAATTTATTTAATTTATAATTTATGCAAGCTGTTTTTGTGCAATGGATTTTTACAGAAAAAAAAAAAGTAGTATAGATGTCTTCTTTTTGCGCAAAAACCTCCTTTCCTGCCAGATTCTTATGCCCCCAAAAAAGGAGGTTTACCAATCTGGTGGAAGAAAGGGTTTTTGCGCAAAAAGAAAGCATCCACACTGCTTGATTTTGCATGAAAACCCCTAAGCAAAAACGGATCTGAAGAAAATATGCAAATGAGATTGCAACTCATGCTAATGAGTCCTTCATTAGCGTATTTTTTGCTGAGAAAACTCGTAGTGTAGACATAGCCCCAGACCTATAGTTGTTTATAATCATAGTCTACTATCATTTTTTAAAGTTTTCTCTTCCCTGTTGCTGTGTGAAAGACCCCTGGAGAGTATGGGAGAAAGCCTGACATCTGCCTAGCACGGGAAATGGGGAAACTGACTGGACACTAAGTGCTCCCAAATGCACTAAATGAAAGAATAAAAATGGAAAAATTTTGTTCTCTAATCTCCCTCAGCTCTATCTTGGGCTCTTCTACAACAGCACAATTTACTGAGGAATAGGGGGGAGTAGCCCTCCCTCCCAAGTTCAAATCCCCTGGGTTTCATATTTGAGGTCTGGTTAGAGCCCATGCCCTGACTCCAGAGGCATTTCTTAAATGCAACAGAGTTTGAGCTTGACTTTGGGGCAGGGAGTTTGTTATAAAAAGAGGAAGGCAGGGTGATTAAGAATAACAAAAGGCTGGGCATTCCAGTAATTGAAGGATCAGATCGTTAGATCATCATGAAAACATTGTCAGGTATTCCACTTAAAAGATGGGGGTGGGAGCAGGGGAAGCGGAGGAATGAGTGTTGTGCTGCTGGGATTTGCATTTGGATTACTGTGTTAAACTTACAAATGTCTTTGAAAAAGGGGTGGCCAGTGACTAATCCAAAACTGACTGCAAAGAGCTACAAAGGGATTTCACAAACTTGGGTGACTAGGCAACACAAAGGCAGATGGAATTCAGTGTTGATAAGTGCAAAGCAACACACATGGAAGAATATAATCCTAACTACAGATACAAAATATCTGTTACCACTCAGGAAAGAGATCTTAGAATCCTTGTGGAGAGTTCCCTGAGAACATCTGTTCAATATGCAGTGGCAGTCTAAAAACTAAAAAGCTAACAGAATATTCAGAATCATTAGAAAAGGAATATATAATAAGACAAAATACCATATTGCCTCTATGTATTCCCACATTTTGAATACTGTATGCAGATCTGGTCAACCCATATAAAAAAAGGTTTATTGTATTTGGAAAAGGTACAGAAAGGGCAAAAGAAATGATTAGGGGTAAGGAACAGATCCCTATAAAGAGAGATTAACAAGACTGAGACTTTTCAGCTTGGAAAAGAAATGACTAAAGGGTTAGAGTAACTGGCATTGGTCACTGTTGGAAGACATGATACTAAGCTAGAAGGACCATTGGTCTGACCCAGTATGGCCATTCTAATGTTCTTATATAGAGCTAAAATATATCTGCCCCTTGCTTTAATACACTACATCCCACTCCCCTTCCAGAGCTGAGAGAGAGCCCAGGAATCCTGATGGGGTCTCTCTCTCTCCACAGAGTTAATAATAAAATAAGAATATACATTCCAATTTTAAGGCTAACCAATGTCCCTCAAGGGACTTGCCACAAGATGTCAGAATATGTTAGTGTTAGAGCTGAGGGAGTCTAATATTTATTTAATTTTCTTTCTTGTATATAGGAGTTAGATACTGTGCTCCTGTAAGTTAACTGCTAAGTTGTCTGCCAAAAACACTACAAAAAAGTAGTGTTTTCCAGTATCCTGGCAGTCCTTTGATAGGGATGATGCGTGTGTGGTGGGTAAGGTATATGGGGTTGGTTCCCCCCTCCCCATTTGGTGCTTGGCTTATACTGAGCATGCTCAGTAACACAGCTGAAGCCCCTGTCCTCAGTCTGCCTGCCTCCACCCTGTGCTTTCACTCTCCACCCCTTCCCCCGCCCCCGCATGGCATGCAGAGGTCTTCGCCACCAAAATCTGAAATGGCGCCCTTGCTCTTGTGTGGCTCCCATTACTGTACTATCTACTTGATTGATAGTTGTCAGGTGGCTGTACCCTCACAATGGCCCTGTGAAGTGGGAAAGTTCTGTTTTCTCCATTTAAAGATGAACAGAGGCACAAAGTAGCTTCTCCAAGATCATACAGCAAGCCTGTGGAACAGCAAAGACTTGAACCCAAGTTTTGTAAATCCCTGGCTAGTACCCTAATCACTGAATCATCCTCTCTGGTAATTAGGATTCACTCTCTGGGAACAACATACTAGGAAAGTAGTGCAGTGTTTTTAAGATTACTCCAACAGCCTCTCCTTTGCTGAGTATCTAAATTGTACAGAACCAGATTGCACAAGACATTAGTGCATGTCCGTCAAAGTAAATAAACAATCAATTAATTTAAAAATAGAGAAACTGTTTGCAACATAGTCGCTGAAAGCATTTATAAAAAAAAGTGTGATTATTTGGTACTTAAATTGATCCATAACACTGTTGCAGACAGTGGGCAATTATTGAGCCCACAAAGCCAAGCCACACTGTCATATTTACATAAGGGCAGATATTACTCAAAATGTAACATGGGAGCTCCCTGCGTGCACAGATTGGAGAGTCACCTGTGTTCATTTGAAAGGTCTACTACATAAGATAAAATTGTTCTGATGAAGTGCTTAGCAGTCAGGGAAGCAATGAGGATATGCTTATAATATATTACATTGATATAGCTCCCTGTGTCCCAGCAAAAATATAACAATAGCATCACAAATAAAACACTAACATCATATTCTTTCATTCACAGATCTCAAAGAATTTTAAAGGAAGAGATCATTATGCCTGTTTTATAGGTGGAGAAATTGAGGCTGAGCAGTGAAGAGACTTGACCAAGGTCACACAAAGGATCAGTGGCAATGCCACAGGCATCATATCAAGTCCTTTGCCTCTGATAAAAAAATTAAAAGCTGATGATAGGATTAAGTGTTATTGAGTGATTTCAGGTGCTGGTTTTAACACAGAAGAAACAATTCATCCACCACATAGCCAGGAAGAAGAGTTGTTATTTTAGTGGGTGTAGGACATGCTTATTTTCCTTGTTCTTTTGAGCAAAATTGATCAACACTTCAGAAAATGTTGTGCAGCATGGCAACAAAACAAAACAAAACAAAACAAACAACCTGAAAATTAGCAAGTTTGGTTGGCTTAGTTAAGCCAGTGGTCACCAACAAGTAGATCAGGATCTATTGGTAGATCTTGGGGCTTCTGACAGGTGATCCTGACTGGTTTGGCCAAGAGACTATCAAGCACAGCACTTTAGCTGCCCCTCCCCCCACTGCTGCGCACCTCCTGCCCTTTGCCTTGAAGCTCCCTCCTTCCCCTGGGAGCCTCCTGCTTGCGGTACAGAGCAGGGAAGGGAGGAGGGGGCATTGATGTCATGGTGCCCCCTCTTCCATCCTGTATTCTATCTTCATGAATGGGGAGGCACAATAGGGCTTGGGATGGAAGGAGGTTGCTGGCTGCTTTTGAGAGTGGTGCAGGGCCAGGGCAGGGGTGAGCCTGCCTTAGCCCCACTGCACCATCACCCAGGAGCCACCTGAGGTAAGCAGGGTCCAGCTGGAGCCAGCTCCAAGCCTCTGCCCCAGTCATGAACCCCCTTCTACACCCCAAGCTCCTGCCCCAGTCCTGAGCCCCCTGAACCTACACCCTGAACCTCCTCCTGCACTCCAACTCCCTGCCCCAGGCTCAGCTCAGACTCTCACACTCCAAATCCCTAGGCTCAGACCAGAGCCAGTGCCCCAACCCTCTGCCACTGCCTGGTGAAAGGGAGGGAAAATGGGAGAGAGGGAGGATGGAGTGAGCAGGAGCAGGGCCTCATAGAACAGGCACGAAGGAAGAGGGGCAAAGGTATTTGCATTTGAGGTAGATCTTACATTGCACTTCAAAAAGTGACCTCGTGCTTAAAAAGGTTGGAGACCACTGAGTTAAGCTATGGAAGACACATACACAATGATAAAGGAACTTAACTGGAAAGGGAAAGCACCTACAGAAATTAAAAGACCCCAGAAAAAACAGGCCTTTCAGAGAGATTCATGGGCATGTTATCACAACTAATCAAATCCACTCCTAACAATTAAATGCTCCACTCAGAATGTTGGCTGATGATGGGATAAGAAGCAAAAGAAAACCTTTAAAAAATTAGTTGTCCCAGAAGAGCCTAGGAGATCCATACTCACATATGGGATCCATACTTAGCTTCCTTAGAATATTGCAACACTCCTAATGTTGTTTTATGAGGATCACCATTATTCTGTATATATAACACATTGGGGAAAATGGAAGGGCCCTCCTAACAAAATATAGTCAATAGTGCTCTTTTTATGCTATATCTCTTCGAGGACCTGTTCTCAGAATAGGGCTGGCAGAAACCCCAATGCTAGGAAGTTCGTGAGCTACTTTGGTTGTTCAGTATCTACTGCTTCTTTGAAGTTAGCTTGAGATAATTTTAAGACTGTTAGGTACTTTAGAGAGTAAGGAAACAGATGATAATGTAACTTTCTGGCATTGTCCAATGCATAGGCCAAGATGCTTATTGCAAACTCAATTTCAGAACATACAAATTGGCATGGTGAAGGTGGTGATTGCTCTTACCCTGTTGCTAGAGTCCAAAGGTGAACATTAACACACTTGGCTTTTCAATTCCTTCTTCAGTGTTTCCAATAATAATGACTAGCTAACCTTTTTCTTCATATGAAAGACAACTCCTTACGTGGTACTTTGTTTTCTCCTTCTCTCCCTCTTCCATGTGGCTAAATGTGTAAATCCTCCATATGCCTACCTGTATGCTTTAAGTTAAGCATGTGTTTCAGTGCTTTGCTGGTTCCAGGCTAAAATGCTTCGCATGTTGTTAGATTGAGCATTTTTTGTGTATTGTCAAAATCTTGAACTCTCTGGGACAAGGAGTGTATTTGTGTTATTTATTTGAAGACTAGGGATCTTAAGCACAACAATAACACCAATTTAGATCAAGTATGAAGATTTCAGCCAAAACGAATAAAGACATAATACAATAAACTAAGGTATAATAATGATAGCTTCCCATTTCTAAAAGTTGAATGTGTTTAGGAATCTACTCACATAAAAACACTTTTCATTTGCACTTAGAAGCAGTGTCAATTATGAGTCAACTGGAGTAGCTTCACTATAGTCATGTATTATACGAAATCTTAATATTAGTAATTGTCTGCTATGTTAAATTAGTATCATATTATAAATAATTAACATTTCCATTTTTCTTTATTAGCAGCACTTGCTTTGATTTATTCTGGATTAAAAATGAATACCAGTAGGTGGAATGTGTAGTAGTAAGGAACACAAGGCACGTTAGAGAGAGAACAAAATGGCCCACAGCAGCAGCAAACTGTTGTATATGCTATAATAGTATTCACTGGCATGAACGCCAACCCTTGCGAGACTAGACTTTATCTTTGAGAGCCCTACGTTCCGATACCAAGGTCCAATAGCTATTCTTAAAGCAGCACAATTTATTTAGCTAATCATAAAGAAGTTTAAAGGGTGACTTGATCTCAATTAATAAACAGCTACATGGGGAAGAAAAATCTAACAACAGAGTGGTCTGCACTCAGTCAGGCAAAGGTATAATAAGATCTAGTAGTTGGAAGCTGGATCTAGACAAATTAGGAAGGAAGCAACACATTTTAGGAGAGAGGTTGATTAACCATTGGAAAAAATTAACAAGGGTTTGTGATGGTTTCCCCATCAATAGCAATTTAAAAATCAAGATTGGAAGTTTTTTCTAACAGACATACTCTAGTTCAAACAGGAATTAATTCAGGGAAGTCTTTGTTATATAGGCGGTTAGAGCAGATGACCAGAGTGGTCTCTTGGGGTTTTAATGTATAATGTTGAGTAATACTGAATGGAGAGAACCATACTACCATATAACCTCTCTCTCCATCCAACAGGAAGCCATGCCTGAAGTAGAGTAAACTGGGACACAGTACAAGCAGGAAACCTTTGTCTTGTAGCATTCAAACATACTTTTTGAGAAAGCCATCTCTCTCACAACACTAAGATAAACTCAAAAATATTTGGATGGGCCTTTGTGATAAGAAGGAAATGTCAATTAGCTGAAAACATGTAGGCTGTGTCTACATTGGCAAGTATTCTTGCGCAAGAGGCCAGTGTAGACAGGCAACGTTAATTTCTTGCACAAGAAAGCCCGATGGCTAAAATGGCCATCAGAGCATTCTTGCACAAGAGAGCGTCTACACTGGCATGGATGCTTTTGCTCAAAAGCACATCTCTTGCGCAAAAGCACATGCCAGTGTAGACGCTCTCTTGCACAAATACTTTTAATGGAAAAACTCTTCCGTTAAAAGTATTTGTACAAAATCTTGCCAGTGTAGATGTAGCCATAGGGTCCTTAGAAAGAAGAGGTAGTAGGTTCTAAGTACTAATTAAATTATATGGGGAGCAAGATAAAAACAGACATCTTCACATGCTTGGTGGAAGAAATGGCCATCAGTAACAATTTAAAGGAAAATGCTCAAGGAGAAACAGATTAAGGCTCCACAAAGATACAATCATGTTAATGTTGGATTTCTTGGCTATGTCTACACTAGAGTTTTTCCAATGTACCAGAGGTGTCCCAGAAAAACTCTGCCGCATCCAGGGAACGCGTCTGCTCTTCTGAAATTTTTTTCAGATGAGCTTTTTCAGCATCCCTGTAAACCTCATTTTATGAGGAAGAAGGGATGTTCTGAAAAAGAGCTTTTTTTCTGACATTTGGCCCAGTGTAGGCAGGCCAAGTGTCAGAAAAGCCTCTTTTGAAAAGTGGAAAGAGCTATGCAAATTGCTGTTCACAATTTGCGTAGTTTTTTCCGGAAGAACATTGTAGTGTAGACATAGGGTATGTCTACGCTTGCCCCCTAGTTCAAACTAGGGAGGCAAATGAAGCATATCAAAGTTGCTAATGAAGCACGGGATTTAAATATCACACGATCGATTAGCATATTCGTGGCCGGTAGCCATCTTAAAATGCTGGTAGCCCGAATTAACTCGCCACGTGTAGATGCGGTAGTCAGATCCAAAACCCTTCCCTCGAATTAACTGTTACTCCTCGTGCAATGAGGAGTAACAGCTAATTCAAGGGAAGGGTTTTGGATCAGACTACTGCATCTACACACGGCAAGTTAATTCGGGCTACCGGCATTTTAAAATGATGACCAGCCTTGAATATGCTAATCAAGTGCAGGATATTTAAATCCCATGCTTCATTAGTGACTTCGGTATGCTTCATTTTCCTCCCTAGTTCGAACTAGGGGGCAAGTGTAGACATACCCATAGTCTTTAAGGGAAGAGATAGGGATGCATTCTGATCTTTCTCCACATTTGCTAGTTACAGTTGCATCAGTCCTCAAAGAATTAGGAACTAGTTCAGCTAGAAGATAAAGCAGGAGCCAGGAAACACAGCTAAACCTTGCTAAATAGCCTTCTTCTTCACACGTGTAAAGAAAAATGTTCCCCACATTTTATAACTAGAGCTAGATTTAATAATGTGTTTATCAGTGAGCTGAAAGATCACAGACATCAGGTTGATGTTTTAAGTAATGAGTTTCCTCCTCTATATGATGCATTAGTTTGCACCTGGAGAGTCCTGCTTTACTCGATCTACTTCATGGGAACGACATTGTTTCCCTGAATAAAATGCACAGTCAATCTGAAGCCCTTCTCTTGGAGAGTGAACCTCTTTCTGGAGATGCCCTTATGATTAGAATCATGAATAACAAACAAAGCAATATAACTGTCATTGCATTTTCCAATAAATATTCACCTTCCCGGTGAGTCTCCATTCTCATCAAACAAGATCATGTCCCCAGAAACCCCAGTGAAGTTAGTCTTCATGAGAGAATCCAGGAGTTTTTGACCATCTATAGGCTTCATGGCATCACAGAGACCTGCATAGCCTGGGCACAGTGACATCTGCATGTTGTGAAGACCATATGCCATAGAATATATGGCATTGATTACGAATCCCATTTTAGAATCCTGAACATGCTGTGTTTTGAGAGTCAACTGACCTGTTAGAAAACAGCATAAAATTTAGTCATTACTATAGACAGAAACATGATGAATCTTCAAACATTTTTGCTGTGTATCCATTATTAATATTTTTAAAATCTCTTAAATACCAAACAGCATTTATACACACACACACATAGAGAAAGAGAGAAAGAGAGAGAGAGAGCAGGATAGAAGAGAACAGGTACTCTTTCAAACATCTTGTGATGCTGATGGGCTTCATCTCAAAAAAACACTACAATCTGTGTGTCCTCATTTTGAGTTATCCCTCTTTCACCTTATATTTTTTGTGTGTATGCATCTATTAAAAGTTAGTTGGTTGAGCCCTTTGTGTTCGATGGCCATGGAGGGTGCCCCATGTAATAGGAACCTTGTATGTAATCTTCTGTGTTTCCAGATTTATGGAGCAGCCAAGGGTTCAAAAAAGAGCTAGATAAATTCATAGAAGATAGGTCCATCGATGGCTATTAGCCAGGATGGGAAGGGATGGTGTCCTTAACCTCCATTTACCAGAAGCTAGGAATGGGTAACAGGGGATGGATCATTTGATCATTGCATGTTCTGTTCATTACCTCTGAAGCACCCGGCATTGGCCACTGTCAGAAGACAGGACACTGGGCTAAATGGACCTTTAGTCTCACCTAGTATGGCTGTTTTTATGTAAGGAATCCAGAAACCTACTTCAAACCAAGATGCTGGCATGGAAATGAAATCTTGAGTGGAATTTGCAAACTGATAGCAGCAAAGCAGTCTTATTAATATCACACCGCTCAGCAGCCACAGCTCCAGTTGAAATATATGGCAGTTGTGAACATGCAGAATCTTTCAGGGTTATGGCTTTGAAACTGAACTTTCCTAGGGTACGTCTAAACTACATGGCTCCGTCGATGGAGCCATGTAGATTTGTTGTTTTGGCAAAGGCAAATGAAGCCGCGATTTAAATGATCGCGGCTTCATTTAAATTTACATGGCTGCCGCACTGAGTCGACAAACAGCTGATCAGCTGTTTGTCGACTCAGTGCGGCAGCCATGTAAATTTAAATGAAGCCGCGATCATTTAAATCGCGGCTTCATTTGCCTTTGCCAAAACAACAAATCTACATGGCTCCATCGACGGAGCCATGTAGTTTAGACGTACCCTGTGTTACAAATGAAGACCTAAGAGCTCTCTGAGGGTATGTCTACACTACAAAGTTAATTCAAACTAACGGACGTTAGTTTGAATTAACTTTGATAGGTGCTACACAAGCACTCTGCTAGTTCGAACTTAATTCGAACTAGCGGAGCGCTTAGTTCGATTTAGGTAAACCTCATTCTACGAGGACTAAGCCTCAATCGAACTTACTAGTTCAAATTAAGGGGTGTGTAGCCCCTTAATTCGAACTAGTGGGAGGCTAGCCCTCCCCAGCTCTATGTTTGTTAGTGGAAGTTAATAGGATATGTGGAATTGGGAAAGAGCATATAACTATTAGTCAACCTTGCAGAATTTTTGATAATAGTGTTAAAGAGACATATATCACTAGTTTTAGGCCTCACACATACATAATGGCCTAGATTAACCCTTGCACTGCAAGTGGAGAGCAAGCCTAAAGTTAGCTTAGCTGCCTGCAAAAGCATCACTTCAGCCTACGTGGATCCACCAGTGGTACAGCTGAAATAACAGTGTCTGTCTTGTCTTCTTGCAGCCAATGTAAGATCAATTATTAGAGCGGATCAATTATCAGTGTGGATCAATTATTAGAATGTGTGGCCAGGGTTCCCCTGAGATTCATGGCTGGGGGTCCTAATAGGATTTCCTCTTTTTCGGCCATCTCTGAAGGATTTCCTGTTCTATGCACCAATGTGCCTTATCCTAAGGACAGTAAGGCTACGTCTAGAATACCCCCTCTCTATCAACAGAGGGATGCAAATCAAGCACATTGAAATTGCTAATGAAGCAGGGATTTAAATATCCCGTGCTTCATTAGCATAAATATGGCCACCTCTTTTTTTCGAAATGGAGCTTTTTCGGAAAAAAAAACGATAACAAAACAGCAGTCTAGATGTGGATCTGTCAAAAATAAACCCTTTTTTGAAGGATCCTGTATTCCTCAAAAAAATGAGGTTTACAGGCTCTGTCGAAAAAGGTTTTATTTTCGACAGATCCGTGTCTAGACTGCCTTTTTTTTTTTTTTTTTAAAAAAGCTCCGTTTAAAAAAAACAAAACAAAAAACGGTGGCCATGTTTATGCTAGTGAAGAGCAGGATATTTAAATCCCTGCTTCATTAGCAATTTTGATGTGCCTAATCTACATCTCTCTGTCAACAGAGAGGTGTAGTCTAGGCATACCCTAACTGTCCCTCCTCTCCCTAAACAGGCCATAGAGGAGCAGTGATGAGCAGAGATATAAATGAAAGAAAGAAAGAAAGAAAGAAAGAAAGAAAGAAAGAAAGAAAGAAAGGTTGATCAATTAGGCCATTCCTTCTCAGACACATTCTATTCAGGGGATTCTGTATCCAAGTAGTGAAAGGTCTTAACTATGAACTGACTAGACTTCAGGAATGAGTATCAAACCCAAAACTTCTGACTCACAAAAGACTTCAGTACCTAAAGAGAGTTAGGATGTGTTTAAGAAACCTGCCCAGCTCAACCAATATTTTCCCCTTTTTAACACGCTTTTAAATATATTAGGAAATGGCTCCTGGATATGTTTTACTGCTTTGGAATGAAAACCTGTGGAATAGCAGCAGACCAGATAGTAGCTTAGAAGGATTGGAGGGCTCCACACTAAAGTACTGTAGCCAAAACAAACACAAACACAAACCTGAACCTCCTGGAAATTCCCACATAATGAACTTAGATTTTCATCCATTTTCAGATATCAGATTTCATGTTTTCCAGTACATCAGATCTTCTGGCACAATCTCAATTATTTATTATTATTATTATTTTATTATTATTACTACTTTATTTGCACTAAAGCAGTGTCTAGATGGAACCCTAATGTGTTAGATGCTGCTCCTAACATTTTACAATCTAAAACCGCAATCCTGGGAGAAAAAGAACAAATGTGCTAATTTGAAGCACACAGTTAGTTTCACCATTGACCCCCAACCTCTCACACACTACCCGGTGGCCCTTCAGCATATGAATTGTTTCTTTTCAAGTATATTCTACAATGGACAAAAGGAGATCTCTGACCTGACTTTTCACATGATGCTGGAGATGTTCTGCACCTGCCTTGCAGTGGTGACTTCTGTTCTTGCAGGTCTGTAGGGCAATTCCTATGTCCTTGTGTTAAGACCCTGTTCTACACTAGGGAGTTATTTCAAAATAATCCTCCTTAGGTCAAATTTATAATCAGAGCATTTACATTACCAGGCCTTTTGTTTCTAAATAATGGACTGGTTATTTTGAAATCTGTATTCCTGCTTTCCTCAGGGAATAACGTTAACTTTAAAATTGTTATTTTGAAAAATCTTCTTGCTCAAGAAGCCTGTAGTTTAGACATAGCCTCACTGAGGCCCTTTAAATGGTTGAACACACATTCCATGACTATGTGGCACCTGCTCAGCCTGGTGTTGAAGTGCTCCTTTCTGGGGTGAAGTTTGCCCACATAGGGCTCCAGGGGAGCAAGGGGTAGGCTCTGTCACCCAAGATGCACATGGGTATGTCTACCACTCCGACTCTCATGGTGCAGTCAGGGAAAAAAGTGCTGGTGTGCATCTTTCAGAAAGGCAGGAGTTCCGGAAGATGTGGGCGTCGTGTGCCTTTCCCAACCAGCTGACATTGATGTTGGTAAAGCATTTCTTGTTATCCATGAGGGCCTGCAGCACCATGAAGTACCCCTTTCTGTTGATGTCATCTGAGGCATGGTGGTCGGGGGCCAGGATGGGGATGTGTGTGCTGTCTATGGCCCTCCTCACAGTTGGTGAAGCCCCAGGCGGCAAAGCCATCTACAATGTTGGTCAAGTTCCCCAGAGTGATGACTGTCCATAGCAGCAGGTGGTTGATGGCCTTCACTACTTGTATGAGCATGGCCCTGAGTGTGGATTTCCCATGCTGAACTGGTTCCCAATGGAGAAGTAGCTGTCTGGCATGGCAAGCTTCCAGAGTGCAATGGCCACACACTTCTGCATGGGGATGGTGGATTGCGTGCAGGTGTCCTGTCACCTGAGGGCAGGGGCAAGCCATTTGCAGAGCACGAGGAAGGTGGCCTTCCACATGTGGAAGTTCTGCAGCCACTGCTGGTCATTCCATCCGGGCATGATGATGTGGTACCACCAGTCCAGGGCATTGAGGGGCATGCGCAGCAGCAGGAGCACTAGATCCTGGATGAGCAGGGCTTGTGGTCCATGCTGGGGTTCATCCTTCAGGTCCTTGTCCTCATCCTGCTGGAGCAATATGGGGGCGGTCTTGAAGTACTGTGCCATGAGGCACAGCACGTGGCCCAAGAGCCTGGCACTGCTTTGCAGCCGCTCTGGCTCCATGCTGTGAGTGTTGCGGCATCTGCAAGGGCATCCAGAGTATGAGATGGCACATGCCCACTGAGACACTTTTGGGTCCTGCCAGGGGGGAGGCAGTGGAGAAATGGTGTGTGAGAGGCCCCTGAAAGCATGTGTCACAGCTTGCCTGACCACGCAGCCACAGGAAGTATCCGCTCTCCTGGTTCCCTCCCCAGAGTACTTCCAGGGGCTCTAAGTCTGAGGCAGGATCCAATCAGTGTTGACACGCTATTTCAGAATAATTCTTACTAATTTCGATACTTCCCCATATTGGGTACACACTATTTCGATTTTGTTAAATCAGGAGTTATATCGATTTTACTTATTTCAAAATAATTTCTTGTGTAGACATGCCCTTAGTGACCTCTTGATTTTAAAGTCCATGGAAAAGGTTTTAATTTAAATTTTCATTTGCCTTTATTGCTTTGCTACTAATCTCTTACTTTAAATCCTTTATTTTTCGGCTGCTTCCCTTAACCTGGTGTTTCATCTTTCATACATGTCTCTCCTGTATT